CACACACACACACACACACACACACACACACACACACACGCAAACAAAAAGGTTTAGCAGTAAAGGATATGTGCAAAAACACACACTCTGATTGTGACGAATGAAATAGAAGTTAGGGAAACCAGAAGAGCAGCTTCTAGGAAAAGAAAGAGATAGACCAAGAGTAAAGGAAAGGGAGAGGCCGTCCATCTGGGACCTACACTGGGGAGCTGCTTCCTCTGCCTCCACGGGACTCTGCGGGGCGTTGCTTTCTGTGGGCTCAATGGGAGGGGAGGACAGAGTGGGGGGTAGGACAAGCTGTGGTGGTTCCTGCAACGTGGTGCGCCGAGGTTTGGGTGGCGCTGGTTGATCAGCGGCTCCTGTGGGAGAAACGGCATGAAAGGCAAGGCAGGCAACTGATGGTCATGTGGGTAATAAAAAAAAGAGGAATGTGGCACAAACATATTATCAAACTGAAAGCAGCACAGAAAACATTATGTAATCATCAAGATCTTTGTTGTTCCATGTATCCTGGCAACGTCTCGGCTGTGTTTTTGTGCTCCACTTCTTAAGTGACTGCTTGTTGATCAAACAGTTTCCTTCATCCTCTGATTGTTTTTGGTGATGAAGTTTAAATTTCTGCGAGCAGAACTTCCATCTTTGTCTGCAGAGCCACTGAGGTCATCAGTGCTAAAGGTGCAGTAAGCTGCTCTTGTGTTAACAGCACACTCATCTGTAATGTTTTGCCATTGTTCCTGTGGAATTTCACATTTCATGGACTTTACTTGACTACTGTCTGTAGTGGAGGGCCAAACCTCGGCAACAAAGGCCTGTTGAATATCAGCTGAAGTTTCAGGAGAAGTGACGGCAACAGCAGGTTTGTAGCTCCCTTTCAGTTTAGATAAATCCTGTAAGAACTTGAATAAAAATAAATGTGTGCCAGGAGCGGTTTTATTTCTTTGCTGCATACTAACGCCGTTACCAGTCACAGTCAATATGACATTTAGAATTTATACATTTAAATAAATCTGGCAGATTTGGGTTTAATCGGACGTAACTGCTAGCGTACCGCTTTGGAACTAGATGCCTATGTTTGCAGAGCAGCAAAATATAAAAGCTTTACTACCATAGTCAGAGGCGGCACAGCTACAGGTGATGACAAGCAGTGATAGAAAGTAGCATTATGTGGATGTTCAAATGTCACATGTGATTATTACTGAAGGGGTAAATCCTACATTCTGTTTTAGCATTCAATAGCACACCCCAATATTTCCTCTATATTTCATGCAGGCTACTAATTGACTTGATTAAAAAAACAACAAGAGGCAGTAAAGAGGACTTGAATACGGATGTGTAATATGTGCAGACTACGTACGATACGCAAAGCTGATGCGAACAGAAGTGTAGACTGATGAATGGGACAAAGTCAATCTAGATAACATATTGGGTTTTAGCGGGAAAAGCACAATTACTGTAAAACAGCATTGTTGAAATATATCTACCGTAACATCCTTATAAGGCTAACGATGCATCAGCGTGCTGTGTCTCAGGCGCTGTTGGTTTGATACTTTATCTGTTTACTCTGAAACAGCAACACTGGATCTCACACACGATCGAATCCTCTGTTCCTGTTCATTAAACTCTAAAAATTACCCAGAGCTGATTTGTCAAGCAATTTGATCTCTGTTCTTTTCCCCGGCATATCATTGTTGCTGTTATTACTAAATAGCCGCATGATTAATGTGGACAACGTCTGGAAAACACAATCAAATTGTCAATATCAACCAGTGGAGGAACCACTCATTTACATTTACCCTGACTTTCCTACTTCAAGCTGAAGCGGTAGTGGAAAGAATATTTGCCTTTTCTACAGAAGCATGTTTTAATATCATTTACGTTTTAAGCTCTACACTACAAGAGAGTTTGAAGAGCTGAGGCAAATACAATTAACTAATATCAGACACCAGAAGCAAGCACTAGACACAAGCAATAGTATGAAACCAAGCTTCAAATGATTACCAAAGAGTATTGCTGTATTAAAGCATTACTTTTAGTGGAATAGTGTGAAGCTCCGCCTCTATTTATATAGAATCAGAGATCTTCATCATCACAAACCTTCCCAAAGCAAATGCCAGACAGTTTGACATACGCATCAACTTTGCTTAAATGAAAGGCTAAACATTATCTACATAACTAAGAGACTGAATCAAACCTACATGAAAGAAAGACCCACGGAAACCTGAGAAATGAACTGTGTACACTTCTATCTCTGCCTACACAAGCACGAGGGCACCACCCTACGCTGTACGTGCAGGGTTTAGCTTCTCTAGCCCTAACAGGTGTACTAGCTATTCAGCCACTGCCAAATATGTACGCTTCATGTACAACTAAGAAAGTCGACTTTATAGTCACTGCATTTGAAAAGTTGATGTTGAGGTTGTGTGCAGGACTACATGGACTGTTAGAGAGACTGTGGCTTTGGGAATGAAAATATTTTTACGACAAATAGCCATTTGAACTCTGAATGAGTACTTTCTCTCACATTGTAAAGGGAAGTAAGGAAGACTGGAGGAAAAAGGGAGAGTCAAAGAAAAGAAAAGAGAGATGGTGTTGCACAGTCAGCAGTGTTAGGAGAAGAGGAAAAAAAAAAAGAGAAGCTCTCCTGACAAATGCAATAACCTCCTCATACTTTCATCTGCCTGTCCATCATCTCCTCTCCTTAAACCCCTCTAGTCCCCTTGTTTCTACCTCGCTATACGCTGCCAAAACCTTCCCATGCTCCTTTCCCTGAACTCCATTCTGGTACCCTCACCTTCCTCATCCCCCTTTTTTTCTGAGGTCTACTACTCTCTCATCTCTGCCCCCGTCAGACACGGCAGCCCTCTGCTGCAATCTGACTTTGCCCCAGAGAAAGATCGAGGTTGTAGTGAGATCAATACAAGGCCAGCCATAGTTCAAGTAGATCTTGCTTAAATCTATGATGGATCCGTCTGCCTTTGCACCTGCCAGCTTTGAAGGTTTGTTTGAGTGGCTGCATGCATACGAGAGAGAGAGGGAGAAATAACGAGGGGATAGAGAAAGAGAGAGAGAGAGAGAGAAAGAAGAAAAAAGAGAGAAAGATAAGAAGAACCTGAGGGATTGATAAGTGCAGGCAAGAGACAAGGACTGTATTGTCTCATAGGCTATGATGAAAACCAGCTCCACTCGTTCCTGTACCTCAACCATGACACACACACACGCACACACACGCACACACACACACACGCACACACACACACACACACACACACACACACACACACACACACACACACACACACACACACGCACGCACGCACACACACACACACACACACAAAGTCTTTCACCTGGTTATGTGTACGTCATTCTTGACAGCTTAAGTTTCAGAGGTTGCAGCAATGTGACAGCTCATTTTTCCCAGAGCAGACAATCACTCACTTTCTCTGTAAAATAAACTTATACAGGCAACTTCAGACTCTTTAACACACGGAGAAAGTGTTCAGCGTCACTGTGCTCAACTGCCAGGTTCACTTCCATGGCTTTTTTAAACTCTGTGTCAGGTGCTAGTTTTGGAGTGTCTGTTATGCCGTTGCGTAGATAGTTACCCATTGCGCTGTGTCTGTTGTTCTCAACGTCATCCGGTTTCAGGTTTAGGGCCAACTCGGTCTCCAACCCGGAGGTGCTGGCTGAGGTCGCCTCCTGATTCAATTTGGCAGCTGTGCTGCTTTGGCAGGTGGAGGGATCGGCCTTTACCGATCCCTCCACCTTGTGGCCGGAGCTTTTCACAGCGGGCTGGACCCGCACAGACCCGCTCGCTGTGCTGCTGGTGAGGGTGCTGCAGTAAGAAGCAGCCTGGTCGAGGTCAGCGTCCAAGTCGTCGAGGTTGTGGCTCAGTTCAGAGCTGGAATCCTGGACAGACAGGCTCTCGGTGGTGCTGCTGCTTGGTGTCGGGGAACTGGGGGTCGGGCTGGCAGCGCACACAGGTGAAGGGTTTACTGTTGTTTTCGAGGGCACTGGTTTCACCGTTTGCGCTACCACAGCGGCAGCAGAGACGGTGTTTGACTGAACCGCCTTGCTACAGAAGGCTGGGGTGGGTGTGTCGGTAGCGGGGCTATCAGGGGTGGGAGAGGCAGAGGTCGAAGTGTCGTCGGGGTCTGGGGAGATGGAAGCTGGGGTGGGAGGAGGGGCCGGGGCCTTTCTTTTCCTCTGCTGGCTTTCTGAGCCGAGGCCCGTCTGATGGAAAATAAATAAAGGAGAAGGAGACGGTAGAAAGTTAATTTATCTGAGCACCTTGTGCATTTGTCTGTGTGTGCGTGTGTGTGGTCCAACCATAAATCAGTCTGTCAACCAGAACTGTAGTTGAGGTTACTACTGAGTAATTAAATCAAGTGGAGCTCTGGCAGGCGTCTGAGTCTTAAAACCCCTCAGAGTGCCAAAATTCCTTTTAAATTATCCTACAAGACATAAAACATCTGGCAGCGACACAGTTATTTTGATGCCGAGGTGTTGTTATAGTAGATATTGAAACTTTAAGTGTATATTACTGTGTTTCTCAAAATACTTGAAATAGACATCAACCATGATTCAGATGTCATAGCCTCGTAAAACTGAATTGCTGATCACTTCAGGGGTGAAGTCACAGCTCAGCTATTAGCAAAATGATGCAATGTCTTCTGTGTGCAAACACAAAAGAAATACATTGAGCAACTCTGTCTCTTCCTGTTTCCATTCTCCAACACTCAGTTCAATTCAGTTCAAACACGATTGCTGGCATGATGCAACTTGAGCCACTGAGGCAAGAAGTCAATGATCGGGAAAATACAAAATGACATCAAGTGACATTTGGCTCAGTGGGAAGAAGTTCAATGGAAATCTGCCAATGGGTGTTTCAAAACGTTAACACTGCTTTCTGTTTTTCAAAATGATTGAGGAGCATTTTTTTTAGAAGCTGGCAGTGGCCTTAGTGTAGGCCATTTCTGACGTACTGTATGTGTATGTATATGTATGAGCGTGTCAGGGATAATAATAGCGGCTGAACTGTCTCACCACTGAGGTCAACAACATCCTAACAGAAGACTGGAAGACAGTTAGTGTGTGTGTGTGTCATAATGAACGTGTGTGATGTATGATGAAAAGAGTTTTATGTTAAATGTCTTAACAATGTGTGTGTGGAAGGGGGGGTAGAAGAGGCTAGCTAAGGATAAGGAGACACTTGGCTGACCCACTTCCATTGTCGTCTACTTTGTCCTACTAACCCACATACATTGAATGTTTAGAAGTTAGGTTAGAGGAATCACAGTAGGATGACATATTGGCAGTAGCAAGTTCTTACATTTTAATGTTTATAATTTGTCCTTGACAAATGACTTAAATGATTAATGAACCATCAACCCAAAGCAACAAAAGGCAGACAAAGGATATTCACTCACTGCTTTCTAATTTTAATCGCCAACAGATCAGTGATTAGTTACCGCTCTAAGATTGCGATACATCCTGATTATCGGTTTGCTGCAAATCCACACGTTTAGAGGAATCCTACCTACAGTTCACTACAGCCAGCACAACCTACGGATGTATAGTACACATTTACATGTGTCGCATTACATTACTGTGAAGAGTAGTCATGTTGATAGTAGGCATCTGTATGACGGAGGCCAAATTCAATAACAGCACAAGAGTAAATGAGGTAAAAAAAAAAAAAACACGTTTTCTAACACTAATGCACAATAATTCAGATTGTTGTTTTCCATGCAAATCTTGTGTATATTCTGACTGTCAGAATATATAAGATGTAATACAACGTGTGTTATATTAGATCTTTTTGTCATTATATTAAGGCCCTTTTGACGATGTATGTAAAATGTACATTGCCCTACGAGAGCCAGAGCAACTGCTGTTTTCAACTGGAGCACAAATTAACAAAAACAGCAGTTCAATAGGAAGGATGAAGGAGTAGGATAAGAGATGAACAGAGGAAGGGCTGCTCCCAACTGATCCAGATAAAAAAAAGAAATGTTGTTCCTGCAGAATACGTGGAGAGATGCAGTAGATTCATTTGGCAAAAGGGTAAAAATTACTACTACTCTCCTTCTTTGCTCTCTTGTTCCCTCACAGATTCTTATTTGAACGAAGCTTAACCTATCTAACCACAAATAAAACAGGCGCTAGCTGTGATAAAAACCAGCAGCTGACCTTCTTTCGTGATGATGTTAAGTGGGGTGCGTGAACTCATCGGCTGAAGCTGTGAACAGTCGACAAGTGTTGTAAAAGAGACAAAACAGAGGGTGCGCAGCAGAAGAAAAGCTCATATGGAGGGGTAATAATATAAAGAAAAGACAGACGGATGACAAAACAAAGAAGAAAAACAGACGCAGAGAAAGGAAAATCCTTACTGAACACAGATCCAGTAGCAACTTGTGTTTTGTCTGGCTGATTAAACCGGAGCTGTGCATGAGAGCAGATTAAAGTTAGCTACCGTTGTAGACAATTATACGTGACTGATGGATGGCTGTGAAAAACAAGCCTCCCTCTGCTGCCAACTCTCTACTTTCACACAGTGACAGATCATCAGGAAGAAGAAGAAAAAAAAAAAAAGAAAAGGCTAGCCAGCTCGATCAATCAAGAAGCCACACAGACAACAGGCAGGAATGCAGCACGTACAAAAACAAATCCATGCAGATGCAGAAAACTCTGTGGACAGTAACGGGCAGAATGTTTAACACACACGCACAACTGAGTACATATAATGCATGACACACACACACACACATGTCCAGACAGCCGTAGTTTAGACTAAACTGAGTGCTTATTGATTAAAATACTGAAACTATACTTCTGTCTCTCGCAGTAAGGCAAACTGCCATCAGTCAGATCTGATCAGCAATCACATGGTGTCAGAGCTGCCCTTGGGCAAACCTTTGTCAGATCTGACAGCTGGATTTCCCTCGAGAAATGTAATCGCAAACAACTGTAACAGTGCAACTGCCAGCATGGTTCATTCGTGTTCTTCCAAGTGAGAAATATTTTTAATTCCCCACATCCTGGTTTCACAGCAAACAGATGTGATGTAAGTTATGACTTTTTTTCTTTTTTTTCTTTGTCTGGCTCGGATCTCCCTCTCCTGGCTTTAGGTTGCACAATAAAACAAGAGATGTTTCTGTATTAAAAGTCTATTGAAAAGCCTTTGTTCCAGCTCTATATACATGTAATACTGCCGATTACCTAATTTCTGGGCAGTCCAGGGAGATTAATCCGGTGAGTGTTGTACAAAGGCAAGTTAAATTTGCTTTGTCATTTGGTGACAGGAGTTCAAAAAATGTCGGTTAAATGAAAAATAGGAGCAGAGAAAAGTGAAAGTCTGTAATAAGCTGCAGGTTAAACATTTGTAACCTTTTCTCACAGACTGCCTGCTTACTGCCACTGATCTCACTGCTGCTTCACCCTCTGAACTCCGACGCCGCTCGTTCCCTGTTGTACTTTTCTCCCATCGTGTCTTGATAGGTGAGGGTGGTGCTGAGGGCATGCCAACCACATTTCATGCACTACTGCATTTTGGAAATATGATCCCAAAGCTTATACATAGTTAATGTTGCACGGCTAGAATAAACTCCCACTTATATAAGACCTGATGTTGCCTTACTTTGACTCTCTGTGACCCTCCAAGTCACTCAGTTTCTCTCTTTTGGTCTGTATCGCTCTCTCTCTCATTCTCTGTTGCGTCAGTTGCCTGTCTTTATCTTTCAGTCTCCCTGCACACACACAACACACACGGGCACAAGTGCACTCAGGAAGCACCTTCTGTTACTGAGCATTGAAGCAGAAAGCTCAGAATTTCTCTGAACTTCTTTTTCCACAAGAGGCAAAGTAGACACGGCTTTCTTTCCAAACCACAATATCAGATTGCCTATCACCGCTGGAACAAACAACAAGGTTGTGTTTCTCTGCACTCGATGTTCCAAAACATAATTTAAATCAGTGCTGCTCGCGTAACGACAGACACAGATTGTTGTTTGCGAAGCTGGAGAAAGAAAACTGTAAAGCTCTCTTGACTCCGGCATGAGGAAACATCCGATTCTCCTGCGGTCGAAGATGGCGGTACACTCTTCCTGGAATGCTGCGTCATCTGTTTTTTTAGTGCCATGAGTGCTATTCACATTCTCATTACTGTATAAAGCAACTGGTCCCTCGGACATCAAGAAGGCCGACGATCTACTTCCATTACTGCAAAATGAAATGAGAGCGTAAATAGAGACGGTAAAGTTTCTGTTTCAACGCCCTGAAAGCAATCCATATTGCGCAAAAAATGTGATAACTACCACGTATGAAAGTATGAAATACAATGCTGTGACTGAAATGGTTACTCACTCTGGTTAGTAAAAAATATATATACACACACACACACACACACACACAAATACTGTGAAACATGTACAACGACACCAACATAACATACCAACATGTTAATCTCATCCAAACTACTCAAGTAAGTATTTAAAGAAATTAAACATGAGCCCACCAACATATGGAAAATAAAAGCAAAGACTGCAAGAGTGAAATGTTATATATAGCAAAAATAAAATCTTAAATTGATCATTTGTGATCCACAGTCGACCATAAAGAGATTTGTTAGATAATGTTAATTCTAACTATGATTTAAATGACTGCCCTGAGTATTCTCTGCTTCTCCAAAGTCCATCTGACGCATTTAGCTTCATTATAACAATCTCATCACCCTTATAGCTCATGATATGATGTCGGTGTCTATTACTGAGTCTTGTACGTCACGATTAGTTGACCACCTATAGCTTGTTCGGCTCAGAGGGGAGGTCCACAATGAGGACAGCCCTCATGGAGAGCCGTCCTCAAGTGATCTGCTATCGTGTGCCTAACCCTGCTCTATCACAAGCACACACATTCTCTCAGCACACCTGTACATCTATTAAACTATTAAATCATAAACGTATAGCTCGGCATCTAGACATGCTGCCGTGGTGCGATTGACGTGTATAATTGACGTGTATAATTGCTCCACAGATCCGAGTCACGCAGAGCTGTTGAATGCCAATGCCCCCGATGAACCGTCCTGAGAAAACCCGGCTGCTATAATTCCCCTCACCTGTCATGAAACCTGTCATTTTTAATCAAAACACAGGCCTGGCACGCTGCCAACACCTCACACCTCTTGGCTGTCCTCGGATCACACTGGCTAATTACAGAGTCCCTTCTTGTGGAACAACATCAAACCATCAATCAATCATTTTCTCTTTCCATCCATCCATTCATCTATTAATCAATAGGGTGACAGCTTAAATGTTTTAAGAAATGTACATTAAACAGACATGTTGCTATTCGGTTGTTCTTGTATATAAGATATACGTTACGTGTGACTTGTTGACTATATAAGGCTGTTATATACTATATATATATATATATACTGTTGAGAGACGAGCGGGACGCATCGACAGCCTGTCTTCAATCTCTCAACCCGAGGAAACGGAGAGGCGGTATGGCACCGCAGTATGGCCATACATGAATATACATGAGACAGACAGGGACATGGAGAAATCTATTATTAGACCAGTCATCAAGTCCTCAGATGACCTTCCCTACTGTGAAGCTGCTCTTGTGAGACAGTGGTGTCTCAGTACTTCTGCTCTGGTGTCTATAATCTGGTGGACGGATGAAGTATCTGCGCAGCTACAATTTTCCGTAGTACTAAAAACAATCACGGCAGCTGTAAGGGGCTTCTTAATAGAGTCACAATGCACTGCAAAAAGAAAAGAGCAAACGGCTACAATTTAGTTGAAATGAATCCCATAAAGCAGGAGTCACTAATAGGCTGGACCCAGACGCCGTTGAATCTGGACCCTGGACTTATAACCGATAGATATTTGGGAATTTAAAATTTTGACGGAGTGCTTCAGAGTCACTTAACACCTGAATGAACTGAATTTAAAGCTGCAGGACAATTCAGTTCAATTCAAGTTCAAAGTACTTTATTTTAAGATGAACATTTTTCAAAAGCTTTCTGTTATGAATTTTTGTTATTTTGAAATCCAGCCCTTATTGTAATTGAAATGAGAGAAGAACATTTATTTATTATTAGATTATTTACTATTTATAATTCATCCAGTTAAATTTGAAAACTGATGATGAATATTGTTGAGATATGATTCAATTGAACTTTCTTTATTTGATTTGACAGTCAGTTGTTGACTACATACAGACCTTAATACAACTGCTGGCTACTTCTATAATTATGGAACTAAATGACAGAGCAAGTTAGACATTATTGTGATGTTCCGGACCTTTGCATGAGGAAGTTCTCTGTAACCGGACCTTGTTGAATATTTATTGAATACCCTTCAGAATTTCGGCTGATAATCAAAACTAGCCATATTTATACGTTTATGAAATGGTCCACTGGCAGCTACATGTTAAACTTACTCTACCATTATTACCAAGTTCAGCAGGCAGACAATGGAATATTTTGATTCAGCTGAAGTCCACCCAAATTAGATTAAAGATGGCCTCTTCAGGAATGAATTATGATCCGTGTGCTTTTGTGGCATTATTGAATTACCGTCTACTTATTAAGAACAAAAGATCCGATCATCCAAGCTTGTTTTTGCACTTTCATTGATTTACTATTCTCACCATAAATGTCTCAGAAGGTTTTCCTGCTCCTCCACGCTCAGTTCAGTTTTGCTAATTAAGCAATAGCTATAAGGAGAAGAACACCATGCTCCCTGCCGTCGTGAGAACTAAATTTCCTCTCGATAACATCCAGCAATAACACTCGCTTCTCGAAAAAAACAAAGCTTATTATCGGAGGGAGGGAGGAAGGATGTTGGTTGCTAAACACCATTTCCCAGCATGCTGCCATAACACTATAATGAGACTGCAGGGAGCCCTTGCTTTAATGCAGACGATACAGGTCACTCTGACCGTGAGGAGCTGATCAGGCCAAAACACCCGAAGGAAAAGCTGCGTCAAACAGATTGCAGCTTTCAGATTTACTACTTCGGGTCACTCCTGAGAGCGGAGGGATTTTGATATGTTACATAACTGGACCGCTCCTAAGTAGAAAAATGAAAGAATGTGTCATTATTATAATCCCAATTACACATTGTTTGAGAGTGTATGTGTGTATGAAGAAGGTCTTCATACAATAATCCATTTATTTCTGTATGTAATTTGTTGTGTGTGAGTTTGTGAGATTTTGTGTTCGTCCTGCAGGTGTGAATTAGTGTTTTCACCGCACTGGATGTACTGTATATAAGGTTTTACACGCAATTTAGAACCCGGCTTTATGTTATGACGTAAAGCACTGAAATAATCCATGAAGGCTCTGTTACTAGTATGCATCATCTCATCAATGTGTCTAAATCTGACCAACACACAGCTCTTTAAATCTCCTCACCTCATAGCCCTCAAAGCTAGCGTGTCCCATGGTGGGTGTTGGGGCTCCGGGTAGCGCTGGGGCCCTCCTCTTCTTGGCCTCAGCCTTGGGAGACATCCTGGGTAGGTTCATGACGGACTGAGACTGGCCTAAGGTGCTGGGCCGGTCTTCGACGCTGGGGACCCCTGACGCGGTGGACAGACCCTGTGGGTGATGTCAAAATAAAGAGGGCGAGGTAAGTCTGACAAATATGGATGCAAGTGTACACATGAACAAACATGTAAATGTAGGCGATTTAAGGACACTTCGCTTCCAATCTCAAGTAAGTCAGACACATGACCACTGAGTGTGAGGCGTATGAATTGGTCATGTTGCTGTCGTGCCACCCATAACTGAAATGCCTTGAAGGATTCCCTTTAGTAATCTCTGCCTCTCCAAAGGCTATTGGAATTATTTGGCTTTGTTATAACAATAGCATTATCCTTATAGCTTATATTATGATGTCAATCATATTATATATCAATTACTATGTCTTGTGAGTCACAATAATCCTAAAAAACTAAAAGAATACAGATCAGAAGCCCAACAAAATGTAACTGAAAACTGTTACATAGTAAGATATCCTGACAGGGCTCATATCACTGGTTCTGTCGATTTCAAGGGTTGATTTTATGGTTAAAAGGGACAGCTATCATAAGCATTTATATGCATATACTATGCATGCGATCAACATTTCTGAAGGCCTAATCCATTCTGTAGTCACAACAATTATTGCAACATTCATTTGACAAAGTTGAAAGTGCATCCGCATTTTTCAAAGGGTGGCTGCTTCTGACCAAAACATTGGAACAAAATAAAATAACTGATCAAAGGGAGCCCAAAGTGCTCCTGAAGATCTGAATGTCCCCGTGGCTCAGCTTGGTACAGAGCTTTAGCACAACGGGGGGAACCAAACCATGACTCACACCCCCGTGATCTAAGAAAAGAACCGTGTTTAAAAGCAGATTAATTGATGCGTTCAGACAATGCCTGGATAAGGCAAAGAAATCAGAGCAAACAAAAAAAAAGGAAGTTCAGGTCATTAGAATTAATTGGACCCAAGGTTAGAACATCTCACAGTGGGGAGGGATGGGAAACGAACAGGGGAAAAAGGCCTTGAGTAGAGCAGCAGGCATGTCTGCAGCTTTTTTCACATTGGGGACATTTCACATACAGTATGTGTGTACAAATATGTTTATATTAATTTAATTGTTACAGCATGCAAAATAATATTCTGGTGTAGTGTTGCCTTGCACTGAACTTAAAGAGATAGTGTTGCACGATATGTTCGTACTGTTGAGCGAGGACACCACGTTCACCAGATAAATCTCACCTCTAACCATTTGTGAAAACACAAAATAACAAAATATCCAAACACTTTGGCCCTTGTGTTAAAAACTTAAAGTGACACCTGGTATATCTGTGATTCACAAAAACAAACATTACAGAAACAAATGGCTCAAAAGAATACATTCAAGCACATTAACACAGTACAAAAAGAAAATGGCTAAAACTAAAATATGAAATAAAAGTATTTTTCCCTGTGCTGTGTGACAGAGGTAAGAGCAGGGTAAGGAGGAGGTGATCTAGATGGCATCTAGATGGCATATTTTAGACCGACTGAACAGAAAAAGAGCTGCTGAAGGACGTGACAGATTGATGTGATTTCTATTTGGAATCCTAAACGAAGAGGAGCTCGCTTTCACCTTTCCAAAATCTAACGTTCAAAGCAGAAAATTCACATGAACTCTGTGTGACTTTTTCACCTGCTCTCTTCTACTCCTTCCCTCTGGTAAACAATCTGAAATCTGTCAAAACAGTGGGAGAGGAAAAGGGAGCTGGAACAAACGTGCCACAGCATTTTGGGGGGGGGGGGGGGGGGGGCAATTCACAGAGTCCTCCTCATCATTACAAAGCGCATATTTTTAAAACGAGCGTATTGAACTTCTGCAGAACTTCTTCATAAGCATACGGTATTTCTGGGGAATGCTTTTTAGCGCTTATATGACTGATCCTAATACAAATCACACATGCAAATGCAAAAATCTCTTGCGGTCTATAGAAATATCAGAATCACTCCCTACTAATCAGAGTTAGTCTAACTTCAGCGTAGACGACAACTTCTCCTCCAAAGCAAATGAATGGCAACTCGCGGTTGTTCTGTATATTAAGAAGACTTACACGCTGAGCTAAATACAAACGATAATACAGAAAAGATCAACATTTTCGCTCTTTGACAAGTTGCTTCAGGAACAACTCCTGACTGAAAAGCAATGTTTCACTGCCCTCTATGGTTGAAACTTGAAAGTCAGTTTCACCCCTGATGGGTGTGGTCAGAAGTATGAACTTGTATACCTGTAACCACACCCAACAGTGAGGTCATGGTGTCAAAGGACCACCGGAAGTCATCAAAGACGAGACTACCAGTCAAGTTACTTTTCAAACACAAGCACATTTATATATTTAGTACTACAATGACAATGTACTACAATGTGAATTGTAAGAGCACGTTTTAAATGTGGGATCTGCACCGTGGTGTAGTGTCTAGCATTGTCGCCTCACAGCAAGAGGCACCTGGGTGCACTGCCCCTCCGTGTGGAGTCCGCATGTTCTCACCGTGTCAGGGTGGGTATCTCCGGGTTTACCGGCTTCCTCCCACTTGGGTTAATTGCCCGTAGGCGTGAGTGTGAGCGTGAATACGTCAGACCTGTGCCATACTTTAATATCTATGAACCTAAATTCATCTGCGCTTGGAGTAATGATGTTAAAGTATTAATGCCGCAGAGAAGCTGTGAGGCTCCCAAATTGTGTAATTGCATGTCTTTGCTGTGATGGGAGGATGAGGAGGTTGGAGCAGATAGGATGAGTTTCAAAAAGTGTTCTACTCAAACACCTAAAAGCTGGCCCACATCCCTGCCTCTTTGAGAATGTTGGTTATGGCCAATATGCTGCTCTGAGATACTTGATAAGTATGAGCCAATCAAAAGTAAACTAACATGATCAGCAAAAAAACAACAAGCACATTTTCCCTTTATAAGTGAGCTTGCTTCAGAAGCAGCACTGCCCCATAACATGATGCTATCTAAACATGTTAGTGTTTTAAGACCACACACCCACACACACACACACACACACACACACACACACACACACACACACAC